TTGCTATGTTAAAGCAACCAACTTTGGCTAAGGCCTAGTGTAACTGACAGACCATTTTTCAGAACTGTCTTACCCTGTCTTGGCAGGGTTTGGCAGTCCTTTTCCTTGTGTCCTGCTTATCCAGCAGATACCATGGACTTTGTCAGTGGCTGAGGCATGGGCAGTTCCTTACCCAAAAGCTAATTGTGCCAAGAAGAAAACAAACTCAGAGTGGAGTGTCTTTGGTGCTCAACGTTCTCTTGGGCATAGATTGGTGCTATCCGGAGCAATCATGTCTCTTAGGGTTCAAAAGAACCCTAAATTATTTGAATGCCATGTTCTACAGATCCTTGAAGTGGTTGAAGATTACCTATCTAGGCAGAATACAATCTCTATGTATCTAAGGAACCTAATTATTCTAACTATATGTATAACAAACATGAACAACTCTTGACCTATAATATTTAATACCTATATAATTTAAGATTAAGACTTCATGTCAGAATATTAAATAATCTGTAAACAAATGTGCAACAAATGAGGACAATGACCTTAAAATGTAAGCAATATATAAGTATCTTGATCAGAGGTAAGAATAATATATAATGCAATATGAAAATATACCCTAAAATTTGTATCAATATACAAAATGTTCTAAAGAGAGATAGAAACATGCATGTATACAATCTGACAGAATAACTTTGCATATGGGTACAAATATTGTAAACAGAAATAACAAATATAATTTGAACTTGTATCAATATACAAAAAAGTATACCAATGTAAATTATCTATAAATAATAGCTCACAAGTATTCGCTCGATTACCCACTATTATTGTTAGTGAATAAGTTCACACTAATATCCCATTCAATTTTCCCCTCTTTTATTCTTTTGAGTCTACATAGCTTCCAGCCTAACCCTCTACCTTAGACAAGTAATAGTCAACAACCACTTTAACGGTATCCCCAACCCTGAGAACAAACTTTGTTGGGAGAGGGGACGTCATCTTCTAGAATTGCTTCCAGTTGTCATGGGAGTGATGTTCTTTTTATGGGATTTTGTAAAAGTAAAATGATGGTTAAGTTTCAAGATTACTGTCTAGTATAATGATTTCTGAGTAGTTAATAGGGCTTTTTACAAAGTTCTTATTTGGAGTTCTGGCCAGAACGTCATGAGAAGGTGCATCATTTCAGCAGCTGGTATTCAAAAGACAGTCTTGTAGTAGCGCTGTCAGCATCATGATGACATCTCAACCAGATGGAATTGTTGCTGTGGGGCTCCATCTTCTTACTGGAAACTTCAAAGATTACTGCAGGAAAAGCATCTTTAGTAAACTCTATTGCTCATTGTGAAAAACTTAAACATCATTCATATAAACATACATACAATATAGACAAAATAGGCATAGAAAGTAAACTTTTTCCTAAAATCTTCCTTCTGTCCCATACCAGATGGCTCCTGACATAAGACAGGAACTCTGAATGTTCCTTTTAACAACACACTTGTATTTAGAAAAGGACAGAGCCATTGTCCAACTCCAAATCCAGCTCTATATATTCATATATATATATATATATATATATATATATATATATGTTTTGATCATCTGTCCTCATAAGTCATATTCCTTTTTCTTGAAAATCTTTATTGGATAGTTATTTTTCCTTCTGTCAGCATCAAAACATCCAGGGTCTCTTGAATTTTTGAAGAAATGTATTTTCCTATAAAGACAAGAGCCTGCCCCAACCCTATATGATTTCCTCACCACCTATATAGTGGTTACCACTGTGGATGATCCATCATTTCTCTTTCTCAAGAGGTTTCTTTTTCAAAGCAAATCTTTACTAATTTTGATGGTTTTTATAGTTTTTCTTCTCCTGTGGAAACAAGGGAGAAACCTTTTCCCCAACGTAGCACATCTCCCAGTTTCCATTGTGAGGTCAACACTGCATTGAATCAATATACTGATTGATTCAATTCAGAAGTTTTTTTTCCCCATTATCTCTGCTGCCATTGTTCCTTTCTCATTAGTGTTAAGAAAATTCAAGGTTAATAAAGCATTATGCAGTCTATTTCTGGGGTATTTTCCATCCCTTTCTGTTTGTTTAGCATATCTTATATAATTCAATTTGACCTTTCTATAACTGACTGACCTGTAAGATTATTTGGCATACAAGTAATATGAATTATATTATAATTAGCAAAAAATGTTTCATTTTCTTAGATATATATGCTGTACCATTGTGTGTCTTTATTTGTGCAGAAATACCCATGATGGCCATAACTTCTAATAAGTGTGTAATTACCGAATCAGCCTTTTCTGAGCTCAAGGCAGTTGCCCATTGAAAACCTGAATACGCGTCTCTGGCGTGGTGCACATATTTTAATTTTCCAAATTCCATAAAGTAGAACACATCCATCTGCCAGATCTCATTTCTTTGAGTACCCTTTGGGTTACTCCCTGCAGGCAACGGTGTTTAGTTCTAGAAAGAGCAAATAGGACATTTCTTTATAATCTCCTTAGCTTGTTGCCAATGTAATAGAAAACTTTCTTTAAACCGTTGCTATTGACATGATGTTTGTCATGAAATTCTGAGGCCTGCAATATGCTTCCAATCAGTAATTGATCAATTTCTGCATTACCTTGTGCTAGGGGACCTGGCAGACCCATATGAGATGGACGTGTGTTATGTATATAGGACAAAGCCTATTCCTGATTTTTCCTGTATATGAATGAATAATGAAGTCAATTCTGTATCATCTGGTATAAATTCAGTGGTTTCCATATGCAAGGCAACTCTTTCTGCATATTATGAATCAGTAACTATATTGAGAGGTTCTTTGAAATCCCTTAGCACCATAAGAAGAGCATATAATTCTGCCTTCTGGACAGAATTATAAGTGCTTTGTTCCACCTTACTTAATTCTTCTTATTTGTAACCTGCATTCCCTGATTTATTTGCATCTGTATAAAATGTACAGGCTCTGGTTATTGGTGCATCACATGCAATTCTGGCAAGAATCCAAGAAGTTCTCTTTATAAGGTTAAGTCTATCGCTGTTGGGATAATTGCTATTAATTTCTCCCAAAATATTAACACAAACTCTTTGCTATGATTCATTGCCTACCCATAACTTTTTTATTTCATCAGTAGTGAAAGGCACTATAATCTCTGCTGGGTCTCTACCTGCTAGTTGATGAATGCTCAATTTACCTTTTATAATTAATTCAGACACTTTTTCCATATAAGTTTTTTTTTAATTTTTTACTTGATTTCTGTGGTAAAAAGATCCATTCTAAGGTAATATCATTCCCCTGCATTAAAATTCCTGTGGGAGAAATTCTGGAAGGCAATATGACTAGAATACAATTAAGATTTGGATTCACCCTATCCACATGTGCCTCCTATAATTTCTCCTCAACAATCATCAATTTTTTTTCTGCTTCAGCTGTTAACTCTCTGGGACTATTTAAGTCTTTGTCACCATCTAAGGTTTTGTTTAATGAATTACTAGATCAGGTATTATCCCAACAGCTGGTCGTAGACTGGAAATGTCTCCTAACCATCTTTGAAAGTCATTAAGAGTCCACAACTGGTCTCTCCTAATTTGTGCCTTTTGTGTTCTAATCTTCTGTAAACCTATTCTGTAACCTAGGTAATTAACAGAATCTCCTCTCTGAATCTTTTCAGGAGCAATTTGTAATCACCATTTAGGTAAAACTTTCTTTACTTTTTTAAACATTCTTTCTAAAGTATCTACATTTGAATCAGATAATAAAATGTCATCCATGTAATGGTAGATTATAGACTTAGGAAATTGCTTACATATTATTTTCAGTGACTGACTATGCATACCAAGATGGTCTCAAACTTACAGGGAGCCTCTTTTTTGCTCTGTCTTCTGAGTGCTAGGATTACAGGTATCTGCTATCCCTTCTGGCTCACGAGTATCCTTGCTGTACCCCCGGTGAAATTACTTTTGGGGACCAGGACCTCTCTCAAACTCCAGAGAGTCTACAGTAGTAAGAACAGGAATCATTGAATACCCAGCTGATCACTGAGTGATGGGAAGCATGGTCATTCCTGCCTATATCCCTTGGATGTTACCAGACACAGGTTTTCTTTCTACTTGAAACACAATGTTAAATAAGAGGCCATCATCAAATGCAGAAGATAGCAACAGTTTTCTCAGTGAGCTATTAACCCGAACCTCAGCTCTGCAGTCAGCAGGCCCTCTAATGCTACTGTGTGTTGTGGGTGTGGTATGTGATCAGAGGGATACACCAGCCTAGGCCAATTCCTGAAGTTCTTTTGCTGTCACAAGAATACCCTTGCCAGACAGGTTCTTCTGTGGACTGTCTTGCTGGAAGATGTGAATACTCTGAGGTTCTTTGACTCATGCTACTAACTAGGCCCATAGACCCAAGAGGCAAACACATCTCTCAAACACATCTCCTGTGGTGATAATATATATGTGATAATATATATTATATATCAATATATATCGATATATTATAGATCCATGATAATATATGACTCCTGTCTCTAGGTCAGATGTAGCAGGATCAGATGTAGTCAGCCGCTGAGTTGGTACTTGGTCTCTTTGATGAAGTGTTCCATCTTGTGGACACAGTATTAGATCTGTCACTGGGTTGAGCATTTGTGGATGGCAGTGGCTAAATAACCCATGGGTAACTACCATCCCTGGTTCCAAGGCCACAGCTGTGGTTTGCTCGTCACGCCAGCATTGGACTGACTGATGGCTGAGTCTGGGTGATATCAAATTGTCATATAAACAATAATGGTTTTTTCTCTTGGGGTGCTTTCTCGTAGATGCTGCTGTGTAAAACAAGAGACTTGAAGGCTTCATCCCATTGGCTTTTGTACACCCACATGCTTCTACCCCAGATTTCTTTCATGATGAATCTTTATGTTTTAGTCTAGAGAAGAAAGATGGTTAGGCAAACAGTGTAAATAATTCTGTATGTAAAATAATGTGTATCATATGACGTCCGCAGTCTCCCACCTGGACATTCTACTGTATCCTGGAGAGCCTGGAATTCTGTGATGTCACCAGTGTTGTGGCAACGCCAACTGCCCTTGAGGCATTCGTTCAGTGCCTGTGTGGTTCACCCACAGCCATGCTGAAACGACTGAACAGGCTGCTTGGGAGACAGGATGGAGAGCGCAGGGAGGCCAGAGAGAGGCACAGGGAAGATGGCCTTCAGTCTCCGAGTCACACATCAAGAAATAAATGGTTCCGGAGAAAGCGCAGTGAGTCCTGGGCAGGGGACAGAGAGATTCCTGAAGAGGAAGACTTAAGTTGATCCTTTCAGGAGTGGGACTCAGGAGGTGGGAGTCTTCTCTGCTTTTCTGAGTTACTAAAGAGCAGACCCAGAGTCGAGGATTTCTGATGGTGTGTTTGGCAGAGAGCCAGGGATGGTCAAGGCTTCAACTGCTGTGCTGGGGGCCCTCTGCTTTCCCTCTGCCTGTGTGAGGGAAGCACAGAAGGACCACCGAGGTTCCAGTTCCAGCCCTGCCCTTCACCGTCACTGGATTTCTTTGGTTTCTGTGTCACTAAAGACAGGGAGAGTAAAGTCCCCCGGACAAAGCAGGAGGTTCTCACATTTTACATCACAACCCCTTGCAGGGCAGGAGCCACCAATTATTGCTGCATGTCAGTGACCCCTAAGGTTTCTGAATTCCTCTCCTCTCGCTAGCCAATCATCTCTCCTCTGACCAGAGTGCAGGAATGGGCTATCACTCTTCCTGGAAATGTTTGTTCCTGGTGTCTGGGGGCTCCCCTGGGGATGCCCAGGCCTTAGGTATATTCAGCCTCACCTATGAACCGCTGATCATGCCTTTGCTAACACTGTGAGGGCTGGAAAGTATTCTTCTGAAGCTTTTGATCAATTTTTCATTATTACCCATGTGATTTATTATTGTTCTGAAAGGACACCCCCAATCCCCCACCGCCCCACACAATGTTTCAGTCCCATGGGTCTTCTCTGATGTGCTTGTCCACTGTATGGATCTGATCGTCCTTCCCCATCATCCTGGGCTAATGTCTTAGCATCCTTTATTTCTCATCTTATTGATTAGTCGTCTTAGGGATGGCAAGAGCCATTCCTGGGAAGTCTCTGGAAAGTAAAATTAGTCCTCCACCCAGGATGAGCTTGTGAATTAGAATGAACTAGATTCTAATCATCGGGGAGACCTCTGGATTGAAAGGAAGAGGTGCTGAAAGGCTTTGGCTGTGACTCAGGAAAGGCTCCTGGAAAGGGTAGCTTGGTTTTTTGTGAATTGGGAAAGAGTTATCTATCAGATAGGTGATGATCCCAAAAGTCTCTTGTCTGAACATTCTGTCGTATCCTGGAGAGCGCTTGGCATCTTCTATGGCAACACCAGTGTGGTGGCAATGCCAACTGCTCTAGAGGCATTTATTGTTTATACGGTTCACCAAGAGATATGTACAAGACTAAGTACACCAACTGGCAGAGCGATTTCTGGTTTTCTAAGAAGAAGGTGAGACTCAAATGGGACCTTCTAGAAATGGGGTTTGGTAGGTGGGACCATCTGAAGCAATGGGCCTGTGCTTCTTCTCTGGGTTCCTAAAGAGCAGACCACAATTGGAGGATTTCTGCCAAGAGTTAGGAATGGTCAAGGCTGCAGCCACTGTGCTGGGAGCTCCTTACTATAATTCTGAGTGGGAAAGAATGCAGCAGGAGACAGTGTCACTGTGAGTCGTCAAGGTTGGGTGTTCCTGCACTTTCTCCTCAGTGGATATCTGTAGGTTCCATGGGTGTCTGATGTGAATATCGGGAAGGGAAACTCCCCATCCCTGCACTCAGGTCTGAGACACTTGGTTGCTTTTAGTCTTGGACACAAGTTAGCTGGTCTGGGAGGTGAAAATCACGAGGGCATCAGGACCTTCCTGCATCTCATCAGACAGGAGCTGACATTTTGAAACCAGCATGACTGGGCTAGCCTGTACCTCCCAGGGTCAGTGGGGCTGCAGTAGGGACTGATGTGTTGTGGGATATTTTACTCTTTTGGCTTTCTTGGGGGACCCACTACCAAGATCCCAAATAAATCACACACAGAGGCTTTATATACTTACCTTGGGATGTTTCTTGTCAGCTTTTCTTACTTAAATTATCCCGACTACCTTTTGCCTCTGGGATTTTATCTCTCTTTTCTGTAAACCTCACTTTCACTCTTACGCCATGGCTGTTGAGTGAGTTAGTAGCTGGCTCCTGGAGTCCTCCCGTCTTCTTCTTGGGCTCCTCCTATTCTCCTTTCAGAGTTCACCTTCTGTTTACACACTCTGCCTGCCAGCCCCACCTATCCCTGTTCCTGTCTCGCTATTGGCTGAACATCTCTTTATTAGGACCCTCAGGTGTTTTAGACAGGCACAGTAACACAGCTTCACAGAGTTAAACAAATGCAGCATAAACAAAAGTCACACAGCTGAAAATAACATTTCTAAATATTAACGGAAATATCTAGCAATGGTGATTGGGGAAGGAGACAAGGCTTATGGGCTCCAACTGGAGGACAGTTGTTCTGTTCTTTGGGGGTCTTCATGCATTCCCTCTTCCTTAGGCCTCTTTTTGGGACTCAACATGATCTCTCACAGCCCCGTACCATCTAACTGGACAAATTCACTGATAAACGTCTACCTACAGGGAGTGCTGGAAAAACATCAACCTCAACCTCCGTCAGTGAGCAGGAGCAGAAGAAGATGAACAAGGTCGATGAACTGACCCTTCAGCTCCAGATGATGACCAATGAGAGGAATGAACTTCGTGCAATCCTGGCCAATTATACCAACAATGATTTGAACAACAGGTAGTCATTATGTCCACTTCTCTGGTGACTGTTTTGACCATCCTGTGTCCACCCCTCATTTCTCATGGCACTTGAGGCTGCACCTCCAAGGTGTCCTCCTGCCCAAACTACTTTTCCCATGTGCATCTGAGAGGCAGAACTGAAGCCTGGGCAGGAGTGAGATGGGGACACAGTCTGCTCTGCCTCCTCTTACTGAAAAGCAGAGCCTGCAGCCTGAGTCACATTTTATGGATGGGGCAGTAGTGTGTGAGCTCACAACATGCATTTCAAAGAGGCCTGGATAGGTGTTGGCTTGTGGGAGATGCTGGGGCTGAGTTCTTGGGGAGTCTTTGTTTTTGACTGGGTGATTTCTTGCTGGTTGCTTGGAGAGCAGGGCCTGGTCCACTAGGTCCATCTCAGTGTGTGATTGGGAGGCCTGCAGCTCATCTGGGAAGCTATCTGCTCTTGTTTCTTGTACTCTGAGATAAAGTCACCTACCTGCCTGTTTCTAACATCCTAATTGTGTATGGGTTTATGTGGGTGAAGGCTAAGGGGCCCAAACATTGCCCATATGGCAGTGGCAGGTTTTGCCTTTTTCACTTCTCTCTCCCTTGATAAAACATTTAATTGCATTCCTAAAATTAGTCCCCAGGGCTCATTCCTTCGTTGGCCACTGACTCATTCCTGAAGACAAACACTGAGGTTCAGAAATCAAAATTCATTATTTGGGTGTTCTGGCTTACCTGTCCAATCAGGTCTCACCAACTCATCCTAGCACAGACTTCCCCTTATCTCATTAAAACCCATGGCTGGAAAAAAAAAAAACAAAAAAAAAACAAAAAAAAAAACAAAAAACAACCCATTCCTTGCCTTCAGCCCTTGCCTGATTCAGAGGCAGCTCCCTCCCCCCCATTCAATGATTGCTCCTCTGAGTCACTAAATCTTCTTTGTGCTGTGATGTCTGAGTGTGTTCTGTACTGTCTCTGAGGGGTTCCCTTATAGTGTGTGTTTGTGTGTGTGTTTGTCCAGATGATGTGAGTCAGAGATTGGTAGTAGGGCCGATGATTTGTTTGTCTCAGAGTCTCAGGTGATATAAGTGCTGAGGCCAGAGAGTCCCACTTTGAGCATCCCTGCCCTCATTCTTCGAGGTTGCCTTGGTGACTGAATGGAATTCCCTGGGGAGTTTATAAAGTCATTGTACTATATGGTTTCCTCCATGGAAATCCTGATTATGAGTTCTGGGCATCCCTGTGAAAACAAGAACACAGAATAAACTTTTTTTTTCTGAAGACAGGAGACATGTCATTACAGGTTTCATGTAGGCCCAGACCCGTGGCACAGACTCCTGGGACATCTTAAAAAGAGCTAGTTTGTTCCTCCAGGCCTACTAAAGAAGCTCATGTAGCCCTGTCTGTCTCTTGACGCTCTGCCTTTCTGCCACTGGGGCAGCTTAGCAAGTCTAAGAAACATCAACAGGTCCTAGTACCTAGGATTAAGGATGTGACATCCAGTGGACTAGGATAATTCAAGACACAGCCGTAATTCCTGTGTTCATGGGGTTCTTTGTTCCTGGGCCCATGCTCTACGATAGGCTGAAATCTGAGCTTGAGGAGCTGAAAATGGATCATCAGAAAGAGATGTCAGAGCTGGAGAAATTCCACAAGGAAATTAGAGAGAGCTCATACAAGTCCAAGAAGCTGACTGAGGAGATCAACTCCTACCGGTGAGTGTCTGATTGGATGGGACCCCTGTACTTCGGAAGGATAGCTTCTTCCCCCACTTTGCCTTTGAACCAAAGTGAGGGCTGTGGATCTAGCTTGTTTACCTTGTACTTGTCCTCCCAGACTGATTTCTCCCAAGTGCAAGGAGTTCCAAGAGCCCCTCCCAACGTGATCCTGTCAGCTTCCAGAGCTTCTAGATAGAAAACATGGTTTGCACCATGAATGGTCTCTGGGACTCTGACTCTGGGACTCTGACAGGGGCTTACATAGCCTGTTGCTATGGGACACAGATGTGGAATGTATTCCCCTTGGGTCCTCTGTCCTCCCTCAGACCATGTTTGCTCTATACCTGATGATGGTCTCCCAATACCATGATCAGTGTAGGATCGGCGTGTGTTGGGGGTGCAAGTTCTTAGAGGTGCATCACCTAGGGGACACTGGCCTGGCTAATGTGGTCTGCAGTCTGGTGTTATCTGAGGACACGGGACCTTGCAGGGAAGGTGGTATTAGTAGGTAGGAGTGGCAGATGGAGGTGGACTGGAGCTCATCATTGCTTGTGATGGTTAAGCACCCTCCACAGCCAGCTTCTGGGGGAATGGACACAGATGAAGGAAAAAGTGGGCATGTTGAACGAAGACAAGAGAAAGCTGAAAGCAGAACAGATTTCCCTGCAAGAGTCCTGTGAGGAGACAAGGAGGCTCTGTGAGGAGGCCCATGAGAAGATCTATAAACTCTGGAGCAAGCAGCAGCGGGTAAGCTGAGGCAGCAGGAGCAAGCTGCCCACCTATCTAATCGCACATACACATATGTACACCATCATGTAACCGTCCACTCAGTTACCCAGCTGACCACCTCCATTCTGTCTAATGGTCCATATCTGGGATCCTTCACAAGTCTCTCTGGGGAGTAACCTCTTGGAACACACAACCTGACTGGAAAACAAACCATCCTGCTCTGGTAGAAGATGCAGTCCATTGAGGGAGATTAGTAAATCACATATCACACACCTACATGTCAGTACGGTAGGAAGGATTCTGTGCTGGGAGCTACATAGGGAGAATCACAGAGCTTTGAGTGAGTGTGTGAGTGAGGACAAGGGCCTGGGGATCATTTGCTTGCTAGAACAGAATATTTCTGTTCCGCTTAAGCTACCAGGCCAGAGCTCTTTGGATCTCCTGTCTCCACACAGGTAGAGCTTCCTATCTTTTTCTGCCTCATCATCTTATTGCTAAATGGTTCTTTTGGTAAGAAAGAGAAAGGACTTGGTGTTTTCTCTCAACTTTTACACATTTTCACTATTTTGGAATTAATGTGTTTTATAATACAAAAATTCAAACCCCAGAGCTTTCTTGAAAACAAAAAGTAGACTTCTTTCCTTTCACCGAACTGAGGTAACCTCCCAGGAAATGTCTGGTTTGTCTCGTTGGCTTCACAACACAGAACCTGGCAGGAAAGACCAGTTGAGGATGTGTGTCCTTCTCTGCTCTGGGTGAAAGGTGACTGTCCACTAACGACTTGCCTGCATCCTGTTTTGTTCTTCTTCTCATCATTGCCTGCTACCATTTTTCTCTCACCATTGTCTAATCTTGGTTCAGTTGGTTTTGTCCTTGGATCTTGGCCTGGATTTTATTCTTTAAGAAATTCTGAACTTAAATAAATCAATGAAATTCTGAACTGCAGAGGTGTCTCCCTCCAGCAGAAGTCCCATAGCCACGCTGAGCTGTGAGAACAGGCTGTCTTAGTGCAGCCCACTTAGGCTCATCATAGTCTACAGGACTCACTACATGTTGTGTCTGCAGCGCTCAGAAGCTGCTTTCATTCCCAGCTTCTTTACGCTGAGTTAAAGTTGGCCTGATGAACGTTGGCAGAAATGAGGACCCCCCCACCCGGCATTGCTATGGTGTGAAATGGTGTAGCCCTGGGAGAAGCTATGTATAATTTTTCAGAAACTTGGATTGCAGTCACAAGATGACCCTGTGATCCCAGAATGAGAAGGAAAAGTCCACAGAGAATCTAGGGGACACCTGGGTTATAGAAGCATTCCTCAGAGCACCGCCAAACCAGAAAATATTCAAATGTCCATCATTGATGAGTAAAAATTCAGTGAAATCAGGCCCTTCCATGGAATACTGTTAAGCAGGAAATAATACATGCACTCATTTGGCCATGAGTCAGTCAGCCTTCTGTTACTTAGAGAAATCCCTGACATAATCATCTTACTAGACGGAAAGGTTTATTTGACTCCTGGTTGTAGAGATTTTCTGGTTTTCTGAACTCATTCCTTGAACTCATTAGGCCAAAATTGAGGTAACCTGTGGTTCAGAGAGCTCCTTTTGGAAGAAGCTGCCCCCCTTGGAGTCACTGGGAAGCACTGAGTGAAAGCAGGGGGCTGGTCCACCACCAGGCAGTGGTCCTGTACCACGGAACTAAGCCTTCATTGGACAGTCTGGAAAACTGGCTATGCAAGCGTGGCTAACTGGGTGAAGGAACCCTGGCATCCACCATTTTGTGGCTTGGGTTTCTAAGGCAAGCACTACATTGACTGCTCTGTCCACTGTGTTCTTCTCCCAGGGACCAGGCGTGCATGTAGTGCCTAGACACACAGGCAGGCAAAACCCCCACACATGTAAAGTAGAAATAAAATGAAAACTTACCAAAACAGAGACAGAGTTCACAATTCTCACCACATCACCCCATCCCTGTGCCTGGGTTAGGATACAGATGGAGAGGGTGTGGGCTAAGGAAAGTAGTTAACTCTCTTCTCGGTACAATCCCAGGTGATCTCTTCCTCCATTAGTGTTAGCTAGGAACTACACATGTGGATGCAATGCAGTGTGCTTGTATGTGTGCATCCATGTACTTCTGTGTGTTCAGGAGTGTGTGTGTTTGTGTGTGTCTGTGTGCATGCATGCACACATGTTTACGTGGGTGCAGACAACCCTGTCCTAAGAACACAATTTTCTAATGATTAGGAACAACAAAGACTGGAGAAACATCTTCATTCCCTACTGAAGCCGAAGGAACTGGTTACCCAGCAAAAGGACACGGCAGGAAAGCTGCAGCATCACTTCGCAGAGTCCCAGACGAGGTAGGAGCACGGACTGGCGGAAGATGGAGCCTAGTGGATCCCCTGTACCTGGATCTCTGTCCTCTTTGGGTTTTATTCATTTGGCAAGGCTCCCAGCCACAGCCAGGGAAAGAATACCTCAGAGTATCGAGTTGGCTAATACCAGGAACTTTTGTCCAGGAAACAATATGTTTGGTTATTGGTCTTTTGAGGATCGTGTCCCCTTCTTCTCTTGTGAGAAGCAGGTCAATTGTGAGGGACGGTGTGTCCTCTGCCACTTTATTTTCCTTCAGGAACATCACATTGAGAGAGAAGTTTCTAGTCTGTGGCTGATTTGAATGCAGCCCACTCCAGCTGGTTGCAGGCTCTCTGCAGGGTTCATCAGTTTCCTGTGAGAAGATTTATTCTGGCCATAAACAGATTAGGAGCTGACAAATTAACCCCATGCAGGTTCTGAGCTGTAGGAATAATCAGAGCCTTCTCTGCAATGTTGTGTAGGCTCCACAAGAGGGCAGACATGGAGTTTTACAGGTTGTTCACATTGATCTGGTATCCAATCATGGCCCGGATTATCTTTCCTGAACTGTGACTCAGACATTGACATTTCTCCAAATTAATGTTTTTGGGCTGTTGAGAAAATATACTCTTTTTTTTTCTAGTCAGCACAGTGTATTTTCCAGTTCAACTTTTAGCAGTTTTTAAAAGTTGCGAAAACATCCAGCCCAGGGTCTCTGTGACTCTTTTTCCCATGGGGGAAACAGGGAATGAGCTCAGCTAAAAGGTGATGCTGGATTGTGTAGCTAGTGGGGGCTCAAAATCTGGCATGGCAGGGCCCCACCAGGCCTCCGTCCTTGCTGTCCATCTCCTCTAGGTCTGAACATCTCCAGCATGAACTGGAAGAGACCACAGCCCAGGAGGAGAGGCTCCTGCAGATGGAGCTGCTGCAGCAGGAGCACTATGTGCCAGGCAAGTGAGCCACCATGGAGCCCCATTCCCACCAACCTGGATATTCATGGTGTGGGTTTTCTTCCTTGACTTTATTTTACTAGAGTTGAATAGGTCCTGATTTATTTTTCGTGCCAGTGTCCCAGAGAGACAGTTTCTATGTCTGATTTCCACTTCTTCTCTGACAGCACCTCTTAAGAGAACTCAGAAGGCTGGAGAAAGCCAGAGACACCTTGAAGGCATGACATTCTACACTCCAGGATCCAGGCCTCCTCTGAAAAAGCCGCATACTTTCTGCTGTGAATTCAGCATTGAGGAAACCATCAACCTACCATCAGAGGATCCAGCCGCAATCTGATCCACCTCTGTTGGCTCACATCCAGAGAAAAGACTACATCATAAATAAGCTTGAGATTCAGAGGACACCCCATGAATTACACAGAAGCCTAACATCCATCACCTAGTGGCCCTGGTGTGGGTAAAACAACATGGAGGGAGTTATGTGGGTGAAGAAGAGTTAATCTGTCAGCTACTGTCAAGGGCTTTGGCAAGCTGACTCCATATGTGATGTGGAATCTGACAAGGAAGACTCTGTCACACTGCTATCCAGACAGACCACACCCAAAGCCTGAGATTCTCTCTCTAGTGCAGAGCTGACGCTGACCCCATATCACGCACACGTGTTGGTGACGATAATTCCCTACAGAGACTAATCCACTTCCTCTTGTCTCATGTTATTGATTTCCTTTTACTTAAAGAAAATTCCAAAGGAAACTGGGAATTTTGCTTAATTTTGTTTGGTTGGTTGTTTTTGTTATGTTTTAGATTGTTTTGGTTTGGTTTATATATTGGGATATCTGCATTAGTTTTTTTGGTTTTCTTCATCTTAGTGTAAGGTTTTGTTATCTTTTGTTATTTATTTTGTTCTTTCCATTGTTTTAATAGTTTGTTAAGGTTACACACTGTCTATAATGACCGCTGTCTTAAAGCCCCCATTGAATAAATGAATGTTTTATGAATAAAAAGCAATTTCCAACTTTCCACTCTTAAGACTCTTCTTTAGTCAGGTGAGCTGTCACACCCTTGTAAACCCACAACTCACAGGCGTGGATCTGTATCAGCAAGTTCCAGGCCACTTGGGCTGCACAATGATTTCCCAGCCATGGGCTACACAGGCAGATGGCACCTTGGGTATGGATACGGATGGCATGGCCTGCTCCGTCTATACCCAGCAGTCTACAGAGAAACTAGACATATCGCATCCTCGGGGTCATATATTCAGCTTCAGTAGAATGTGGTGCACACACTGTACAACATCATGACATCATCATGCAGAGAAAACTAAAGGGAAACACAACTAACGGTAGCCGAGGGTTTTCTGTGTTCTGCGCTGTCCGATTGATGCCTATAAATAATTACTCTGAGGCTTAATATTAATTATAATTGTTGGCAAATGACTCAGGCTTATTACTAGCTAGTTCTTACATTTAAATGGACCCATTTCTATTAATCTGTGCATTGCCACATGGCTGTGATTTACCACTAATTCTCTGGCATCCCACTCCTCCAGTGGCTGGCTACATGGCATCTCCTAGACTCTGCCTTCCTTCTCTCTGTATCTCTGTTTGGATTTCCTGCGTAGCTATAATCTGCTTGGCCCTTGGCCAAATCAGCTTCTTTATTAAGCAATGGCAGTAAAACATATTCACAGCATACAGAGGGGCGTTTGACATCACACAACTGCATTGTTCCCGGCCTCTCTGGAAATGAGAACATTCAACAAAAGAGTGTACAAAAAATAAGGAAATGCAAAGCAGTCTTCCTCTGGTTTTCTTGAAACGTGGGTGATATTCAAAAATGATAACCGCACAGCAGACATAATGTCCTCCAAGACATGTTGGGTCATTTTGTGGTGCTTTTATGTCTGTTGTGGGTGTTTTGCCACTACGTACATGCAATTCTCAAAGTAGCCAGATGAGGGCAGTGGATGTCACCTGGAATGCACATTAAAGACGTTTATTTGCTGTCTTTGCTGTCAGGTGTGTCTTCTTAGACAGCCAAAAGAGCTCTTAATGCACGAGCCACCTCTCCGATCCCTGTTCTTAACTTTCTCCTCCCAGTCATATGTGCTGTGCTAGTAGATTGGATCACCGCAACCAAAGACAGAAGTTTCTTGAGACTTGTAGGGACAGGTCCATGGAGTAGGCATGCTAATTGTCTTAGGCTGCCACACATCCATGCAGGGCTCACAGAGGTTCAGGACCCAGCCCCAGCATCTCTGACTGTCAGACTGGAACGGATTTTCTTCACCTCTCATCTAGGATGACAGTGCAGGTTAGGACTGTCTAATCAAATGCAGAATTTGAGAAGACCCTGCTGGGGGTAGAGGTGGGGTAAGGAACCCCTCTTGATAGTCTAACTAAGCAATATTTGGAGGAGCCTTATGACTAGCTGGAGTAAAAGGAGCCTGTAGCAGGGGCTACATACCTCCTGTTGAGAGTGTTTCTGTGCAAGACTAGAAAAAGGGAGAGAGATGGTAGATAAACGATAGATAGATAGATAGATAGATAGATAGATAGATAGATAGATAGATAGTAGATAGATAGTAGATAGCAGATAGCCCAGAGACCTAGGGCAAAACCTTTTTTTTTTTAGACCAGTAGTGTTGGTTTTACCCTAGGTCTCTGGGCTATCTATTACTGACCTATCTACTATCTATCTGTCTATCATCTACTCTGGTTCTTGGTTACCCAAGCAAGTGCTGGGTGTGGGTTCCTTCTTGTGGAGTGGGCCTGAAGTCAAATCAGACACCGGTTGACTATTCCCACACGTTCTGTGCCACCATTGTCTTTCATATTTTGTAGGCAGGACATTTTGTAGGTCAAAGGTTTTGTGACTGGGTTGGTTGGCGTCTGCTTTTCTCTTTCAATAGCCCACAGAGTACCTTCCCTCAGCCAAGAGTCTAGAAAGTAGGGATGCAGGCTTCCTGTATGACCCAGCTTGACTTCCCCATGTTCCATGTGTGGATGTTACCTCAGCAATGGGACCCACTTGCAGTTTTTGGAATTGAATGCAGCCCAGTCCTTCCACTGGAATCCTTGCCTGGTGAAGGAGATGGCCAGTTGAGACTCCATTACTAGGAGCCATCACTAGTAATGGAGAGGGCAGAACAAAGAAAACAAGCTTTCCCACTAATGGGTTATTACTAAGACAAAATACCAGATAGGAACATTCAGAGTGAGCCTGCATCAAAACCAGGGGTAGGGGTGTTGCTCAAAGATGGTGCTTACTATGCCCTGGTCTCAGGGTGATTGACAATGAAGGCGATTTTGTGTTTCCACCTGAGACAGCGTGATCGACAGTGAAGACTCCAAACTGCAAACTGTAATAATAGTGTTTGAGTTTCTCCATGTCAGCAGGACTTGAACTAGGGAGACTGGGAGACTGGAGTCTATGTCAAGATATTAGCTAGGCGTGGGGACACGGGGCCAAGAAAGCAGCACACCAGACGGGAAGGACAATAATTGCCGTGACTCGGATTCGAACCGAGGTTACTGCAGCCCCAATGCAGAGTACTAACCACTATACGACCACAGCGAGCCACGCCGAGTGATGTGCTCTATAGCGGATGCTCACCCAAGCCTCAGTCAAGCTCAGCCTGGCGCGGACCGGCCTGTTCTGCAGAAATGATTTCTCTAAAGCCGCTGGGTTGGGAGCGGCGCCGAGTGCACGCGTCCGTGCCTCGGTTGGGTGGTGAGGGCAGTCGCTAACTGAAGTCTGTGGGTCGATACCACTCCTGCAGGTGTAGTCCAAGCACGTGACAGCCTTTCATTGCCCTCCTCTCCGTGGAGGCTGGGGCTGGGCCACCTGGGGAGGGGGCGAACTAGCGGTCCAAAGCCTTCCCTAGACGCCGCCCACCAGCAGAGACCAAAACCGTCACCGCCAGTCCCCAGACTCCATACCAAACACAGCCGGGCCTGCCCGTTTCTGTGATTTATTTTGGTTTTTCCACATCCCATGGTTTTCGAAATAAATCGGTTCCAGGGTTTTGTGATTACGAATTAGGCTGTGGTCGCCTAATTCATATGCATATGAATTGTCATATGCATATCTTTAGCCATTGGTGGAAAGTTTACCTATTTTATTAAAATCTGGCCCGTTTCCTGTGCTTTGGTGACTTGTTGTCCATAATTTTCCTTCATTAAGGAGGATCCCCACTCTCGGTCATCCCCAAATAAAACAAAGACGGCAGGTGGGGGTTGTCCACAGGTGCCCCCTCAGCACTCCTACTCCCCCCAAAAATTAGCTTTGTTGTTTTTCCTGCCAGAGGCCAGGCCATAAAGAGACAGCGTGTGACAGGTAAGGAAGGTCTTAAGTACGTGAGCTGGGTTTTTCGTGGGCTTCGGGAATTTCTGAGAAGGATGTAGGGATGTGCACTTTCCAGTTGCCAAGTTAGCACACAAGTGGCTGCAAATTTGGAAACGTTAAACGCCCAAAAGTTGTAATTCCTGGGTGGCTTTGAACCACCAATCTTCTGATCAACAGTAGAACCCACTAACCGACTGTGCCACAGCCACAGTTCATAAGGCTCTGCCGCGTCTCCTCTGTGATTTCGGCTTCACTGCGGCGGCCACACCTGCGTTGCCCACCTTGCGGGGGGCCCAGCATCTGCGTGTTCCATGGCCGCTTCCCGAGCTCACGCGAACGTTATGGACCCGGCACCTCTGGGACGCTGGGACCCCGCAGCTACCCGGGTGTCGGGGCCGCGGGGATTCCACGCTGGCGGACTCACCGTCCAGGCTCCCAATAGGACTCCGCGAAGGAGACCAAGTGCGCTTAGGGTCTGATCCTTTGCAAACCCGGAGCACGGACACGCGAGGAGCTGGTCACCCCAGGTGTGTGCTGGAGCCTCGGCGCGGCCCCGCGTGGGAAAGGCGAGTGCGGTGCCAGTGCTCAGGCGGTACAGACGGGTAGGAGAAGGAGGGACTTGACCTGGAGTAGAGAGTCACGGGGGTGGTTGCGACTGTGACCACACACCGCAGGGATCTGAGGCGGAGCCGGGTGGAACCCAGTACGTCTCCGCGAGAATGGTGACTATGAAGAGACTGGAGTTTGTGTTTAGGGAGATAAAAAACCACGAGGGGTGTTTCGTTTTGTTTTTAATTAGCCAGAATTGCTTCTTTTTTTTTTTTTTTTCTTCTTAGTAACGGTTGCTGTCTTTCAGCTAGAGGTGTGCGGAGTCAAGGAAGGTGTTGACTACCAGGCCAAAATCTAAGATAAGAAAAGATCACTTAAGGCAAAATGAGTCACTTAGACACATACTAAGAGAAACAAAAATAGACTGTAAGGAGAAGGAGACAATAGCTATCTCTCTTTAAAACGAAGATAAGAGGGGAGAGCGCGAACGCAGTCCCCCACTAGCAAAAGTTATGCAGTCGAGTTTCACACACTTGGGGAGATCGCAGGGGTCAACACACCCTAAGTGCAATGGGTGAGCCTCGCCCTGGGAAAACCACCTATGTGATCATGGTATCTCCCCTGCCAGGTAAGTATGTTTTACTCACCCGCAGCCCCCACTCAGCCCCACCGGCCCTGCACTCTGAACTCACGGTCACTTCTCCGCTTTTTCCAGGATCGCCCCGGACGCGCACACTCGATTCGTGCTCTCCGCTGCCACCCGCAGACCCGCGCTCTCTTCCACGCCGCGTGGAAATCCCTCGCATTTCCGCAGAGATTGCGGATGCAGCAGCCCCTGCGCGACCCTCATCTGCATAGACCACGCCCCCAACTGACACCCAGGGGTGACACTACACCCCTCTCCTTAGCCCCGTTGGCTTGGTGAACTTTCTTGCTTGCCGAGAGCTGGATGGAGTGTTGCAGGACCAGAGACAAATCATTTTGTATTATCTCCCACCCCAAATAGCCTATGGCTGCTCACCGCCGTGGCCTAACTGCCTTGTGGCTGGTTTTGGTGCATAGCGACAGACCCCTGTCTTCCGCCAATACGAAGTCAGAGAAGCCAGGCAGCAAGAGAGCCAGCCCTACAGCAGAGGTCTCCAGCTTCGGTCGAACCTGCCTACGTCATGTCTCCACCACTGCAATTTACAAGACTCTTGATGTATGGTTTTCTCTGTTCTCTTCTACAGAAACACCATGAGACATGGTATTTGGGATGACCCGAGTCTGTGTTTCTGGTCCAGGGGACCCACTCTGCCCTCTCTGGACCTCCTCAGGCTCCTACATATGTGTCTTGAACACATACAATCAGACACAAATGCCCATACAAAAAAAAATAAGTACTCTCTTTTCTGTGTTGTGTATGTGGGGGAGTGGCAGATGTGTCTGAGCCATGGCTGGCATGTGGAGGCCAGCAAACAATGTTTCTGGCAGTCGGATCTCTTTCTGCTGTGCCTGATCTGTGGAATCTGACGTTTGACAGATTTTTATAAGAGGCAGTGATAGTTTTTAAGAACTCTAAGTCCTCGCGGTTGGGTTGGAGGTGAGCCTTGACAAAATGAGACAGAGCCTATTAGGATGAAAGAGCCGATGTAGGTCGGACAAAATTTGCCGAATATCAGGGGGTGACTGAGAATGTGGGTGTACCCCCTGAGGTGATTGAGGTAAGTCTAGGCCCTGGAGGGCTGCTGCCCTGGCTGCTTGGTCAGCTCGTTTTTTTCCCTGGAAGGAGCTGTCAGTCTGATGAGACTGGCAGTGATAGTATATTCCTATAGTTTTGGGGAGATGGGAGGCTTATAACAAGGCTATCATGTGGCCTGAGTTAGTTATGGATCCTCCTTTTGTTGTAAGAAGCCCGTGCTCTTTCCAGATAGCAGAATGGGCTGGGAGAATAGGAAAAGCATATTTGGAGTCTGTGTGAACATTTAAGGATTGTCCCTGTGCCAATTGGAAGGCACGGGTGAGGGCTACTAATTCAGCCTGTTGGTTAGTTGTATGGGCGGGGAGTGCCTGTGCCAACCCCACCTCAGTATGTGACACTATGGCAAGCCTGCCCTATGGGTTCCCTCATATAAACAGGAGGTGCCATCTGTGTGCCAGGCATAAGTGACATGAGGCAATGTGTCCTCCTGTGTGTCTGAGGGGTGGGGCAGTAGTTCCTCTGAGGTTTCTATGCAGGAATGAGATGGAGGATAGTCAGGATTAGGTTGAGGGAGAAGATCTGAGATATTGTGGAGTGGGCAGGATTGAAAAAGTGAGTGTGGCATCTTCCACTAGTGTCACTTGGAGGAAAAGAACTCGAGAAGGAGGTAAGGCTTGGAAGCCTTTATAGGGTAAGAGATGGGACAGGTTGTGGTGGGAGAAGATGGTGGTGGGTGACCCAAAGGTTAATTTCTTTGACTCACGAAAAAGAAGCTCAGCAGTCGCTAAAGCGCATATACAGGGTGCCCAGCCCTGAGTGGTAAAGTCTAGCTTCTTCTTCTTCTTTTTTTTCGAGACAGGGTTTCTCTGTAGCTTTGGTGCCCGTCCCAGAACTAGCTCTTGTAGACCAGGCTGGCCTCGAACTCCCAGAGATCCGCCTGCCTCTGCCTCCCGAGTGCTGGGATTAAAGGCGTGCGCCACCACCGTCTGTCTTAAAGTCTAGCTTCTTAGGTGTCAGGGCCAGCCTCGACAAAAATACCAGAGTGGAGGTGTAGGAATTTAGAAATATAGTAAAGAATATGAAGACGCAAATGAAAATAATAAAATGCAGAAACATATAGAATAGTTTCGGGAGGGAATTTTTCAGTGAGTACTGAAAATTCGCCCATGTTTAATTTCCAACTGGTTAATATACCCCTCAGTGGGTCTCCACAGACTGGTACATTACAGGTGCAAAGGAAGGTCCCAGCTGATGCTCTAAGACCCCAAGGGCATACCCCTCCTTTTCTGTTACATAGAAGGAAAAAGGATGAGTTAGGGAGATGGAGAGGTGAAGCCTGGATAAGGGCCTCTTGGGGTCTCTGAAAGGGCTTAGTAATGGGAGGGGGGAGAAACTCGTGTGGAGAACCTAGTGCTGCCTCCTATAGGGGGCAGGCAAGCAGAGAAAAAGAGAGGGTCCAGGAACTAAAGAAGGCAGCTATTCCTAGGAATGATTAAAATCTCCTCTGTAGTAGAAGGGACTGCAAGAGACTGGATTAGTTTTTCTTGCTGTTCCCAGTGTGGCTGCAGCAGGCAGCAGGACATGAGACCACGCCACAGGACCACAGGTCACGAAGGCAGCCAGTCCCAGGCAGGGAGCTTCCCGGTGGGTGAGAGACAGAGACCTATTAGGCACGCTATGCAGAGAAAGTGGTTATTCTAGGCGACCTGACAGCCTCACACAGACATACATGCAGGCAAAACATAAGATAAAAATAAATTATTTTTTTTTAAAAAAGGGAGAAGGGAATGGATAACGTCGTGAGAATTTGAGGTTTTAGTTGTTCCCCTCACTAGCTAGGGAAGTTTCTTCTCTACTCTGAATGTCAGTTCTTATGTGAAAAATAGTCAGCTGCCCCAGGTGTTCCTGAAGCTCTTGTACACGTACAATGCTTTTATCATACTGAGTTGGACACAACAGTGGACATCAAATGGAGACATAAACATGAACTTAATGTTAGATGACAATGTCAAAATGAAAAATAGAAATATCTCTACTTTTCTATGATATATATATATATATATATATATATAGAGAGAGAGAGAGAGAGAGCTATAACATCTGAATTTAAGACATTTTCCAGATTCTTTTTATACGTGTGGCTGGTATATACTTCTTCAAGAAGTTTATAGTTTAGGGTGAATGGCATAGTACAATTCCTAATGTTTTTGTATCTCTTACAAAGAACTTTGAAAGTTTTATTCACAATAACCCTCTGATATGGGGAATCAATCTTTGCCTTCTTTCAAAGAAAAGGTGATATTGTCAAATATCGAGATGTTTCAGACAATCCAGAGATAAAACAAGTCAATCAAATTTACTAACTAGAGGTCACCTCATTTATTATGCTTTAGTGGTACAGGGAAACTGAGGTCAGAGGTGAGAGGGTCAAGGAGAAGAAAGGTGAGGTGTATCTATAGATTGGTACACAGCCTGTCGGTGTTCAAAACGTATTTGATAAATGAATAAACTATCTGGGACTAAATATTAAAAGATTATATGCTAAAACATTAAAAATTAAAACCTTTCTATCAGATCATACACCTTTTCCTATTTTAATAATAACAAGACAAAACATAATATAGCACACAGAGTTGCATAGGTTTGGGGGTGGGGGCGGGCGGGAAGGTAAGAAACTTCAAAGATCTCATTTGGCGGTGGCAGGATCTGACGTGCCCCCGGCCGGACCAGGGCGGAGCTCCGCTCAAACTGAGATGCGGCCACCTTCTGCGGAGCTGAGTCAGGTCGGGCAGCCCGTGAAGCGACGGGAACCAATTACAGCCAAACCAGCCTGTCGACGGACAGAACGCCTCACTAGTTATTCACCGTAAGGATTCAGACGCCCCGCTGTCTCCAAGGGCAACGAGAGACCTCACTTCCGGAAACGTCTCGAACGGAGGGCGCTGCTATTCTATGTCACTTCCGCTCCCCGGGCTTTGCGGATCTGGGGAAGGTGAGTTTGGACAGGATTGTTTCTCTTCCGGCGCTGTACACTGTATTAGAGAAGGCGTTAGGATCGCTGCGTCCGCTAGTGGCAGGCTCTTCCTGCAGACCAGGCCTTCGCGTTTCTGGTCACGTAGTACCGGTACGGTGGCCGAGGAGGTTTGAGCGCGCCGGAAGTCGTCCTCGGCGCTCGCGCCTGGCTGGGCTAGAGACGCACGTGGCGCGGTGAGTGCTGCGGGGACGAATGTGGGAAGGAGCGGGCGGGGATGTGGCGGCGAGGCTTGGGCCCCTGGGCTGGGGCGAAGACACACCCCTGTCTCCGCGCTCCTAACTGGCTGTGTGGCAGGTGACGGGGCTGCGTTTCTGCTGTCCTCTTTGGGGTCCTGAGTGACTCTGCGGTGACCAGATGAATGCTCAGAGCCCGCAGTGACCAGAGGCAGCTGGCCTTCTGTCTCCCCAGGCCGGAGAGAACATGTCTTTCCGAGGAGGAGGAGGAGGAGGTCGCGGAGGCTTTAATCGCGGTGGCGGAGGCGGCGGCTTCAACCGTGGCGGCGGCGGTAGCAACAACCACTTCCGAGGGGGCGGTGGCGGCGGCAATTTCAGAGGCGGCGGCCGAGGAGGGTTTGGACGAGGGGGCGGTCGTGGAGGCTTTAATAAATTCCAAGATCAAGGACCTCCAGAACACGTCGTCTGTAAGTCGTCTTCAGAGCTTAATCTCCTCCGCAGTGGGAGTGGAGTCGGGTGGGGTTTATGTGACTAGCAAGTTTGATGATAGTCTTCGAAAGGGCGCACTGACTTAACATCCTATCGGAGCTGTGAGGAAGCGATCATGAGAACTGAAGTAGTGCGGTGGTGAACTTGAGTTTGGACTGAAAACACGAGAATTAGTCATTATTGAGTGGATAGCCCGTTCTAAAAGAGAGGAAAGAGTTCGGGAATAAGTTTCTTTGCTGTGATCCCTAGTGATACAATT